TTGTGGAGGACGTTGCTTCACTGGCCCAAGTTGGCACCATCATTGCGCTCTTCCCAGGCGAGGCAGATCAGTCGCCGGCCTCGGGATGGCCGCTCATGCTGGCTGCCAGCCACACATGGTAGCTTATGGCAGCCCACTGCAACAGGGGCTGCAGCCTATACCGTTGCCGGCAACTCATGGCAGCCCAGCTCCAGGTCGAGCTGGGACTCACCATCTTAGCTGTAGAGGACAGGGTCACTGGCCCTCATGTGGGATCCGAACCGGGGCCCTGCTGCTCAGAACTGGCGTCCCAAGCCAGCTCTTAACCAACACGCCAGTCGGCCGGCCCAAGACATTTCTTGATATAAATATACTCATTCTGTCTCCATTACTGTGGCTTTCTTTGATTTGTTGTTCTTTTTCAGAGGAGGAAATCAGTAATATGAGAAAGGAGCTTGAGAAATACGGAATACAGATGCCGTCTTTCAGCAAAATAGGTGGTATTCTGGCCAATGAACTATCTGTGGATGAAGCTGCATGTAAGTCTATTTAAAATTTGAACATGCCATTGACACGAAACTTACCTATACTTTATTTGTTGATTCTGGGTACAAGAAACAGAATATTTAGAAGATAATGTAAGCCCCCTGTGAAAGCTTTTATTATATGTATTGTAGATGGTTAATTTGAGCCACTTTAAACATCTACACGTGCAATGAAAATTAAGAGGTTCCAGAAATACCTTCATTCTCCAAAATATTTCTCTACTTTCCACATCTTTAGATTTTAGTGGTAAGGTACATTGCTGTATTGTCTTTTAGTGTTTCAAGTTAAATTGCAGGCATCTCTTGGAAACAGCCTGGTACTTTAGAGTTTTGTGTTCCTTTTCAAACACCTAGGCAGTTGACATAGTGCTTGGTTCATTTAAGCCATTCAGTGCAGTTTGAATAAATGAATAGGGATTATGTAACAGATGCTGAGACAGGACCCAATATAGACGGGCAGGTGGAGAGGTTGTCAGAGGCGTGCTCTGTGATGTGTCAGAGGTCTCTTTTGGTATGCTTACTGGGAGCCAAAGAAGTAACAGTGCTTACGGTTATGCAGTGACAATGCATGTTTTCTTTTGCTAATAAGAATCTGTCCATGTTGTCTTTTGCTAAAAAAAATCTTTTCTTTTTTCTCTTCTCAGTGCATGCTGCAGTTATAGCCATTAATGAAGCTATTGAAAAAGGAATAGCAGAGCAGACCATTATAACTCTAAGAAACCCAAATGCAGTTTTAACTTTAGTGAACGAAAACCTTGCACAAGACTATCAGAAGGAGCTCTGGAAAGCCAAAAAGGCAAAAGAGGAAAACGCAAGACTGAAGGTATTTAATTAGATTCTCATTAATAGATACAGTTATGAATAGGTGGTGTGAAAAAGCCTTAATGTTAAAAGTGTTATTTTTAAATCGACTGACTGGTCTCTCTAGCCATAGGCAGTTGGTTTGGGTGAAATGTAAGGGTGAAAGAAGACCATGAACTATGTAAGGAAATTGTTTCCTTTTTATGATGAATATTGTAAGTTCCAAGGTTTGAAGGTCATGCCGTAAATTTATTACTTACCTGGAAGGTTTAGAAGTAGTGGCTAAAGATCTTCCCTCATTAGGGCATCACCAGCAGACCTTGGTATTGGCCGAGTTACCTTTGGATTTATTAATAGAGGTTAATAATCCAGTGTGGTGAAGTTTAAAGAGGATGTTTTTGAACCTACTCTCTCCAATATTTACCCTCATATTTGACAAAGAGCTTTTCCTCCCCAGCTAGGCAGCCTGCTCCTGATCCTAACTTCACACGCCCCACTTCCTGCCTGTCTTGGGCTACGGAAGACTTGGTCTGCACTCAGATCTCCCACTTCCTTGCCACCTTTCCTTTTTGTAAGCTCTTGCCATGTCAACTTCAGCTCCATTACCAAAAGTGACCACTTTACCTTACCACCCCTTCTCTGTGGGTGGCTCCTGCTAGCATCCGCCTGCCTTGAGATTGTCTGCTCCTCTAGCTTATGTGCTTCCTTGCTGCTGTGGTTCTCCCCTGCATCTCTCAGTGCCTCTTCCTCCTCCTTCCTCTAAATATGGGGATCCTTTAAGGTCTGTCTCTGTTCTTTCTCAATAAAGCCCATGCACTTGAAGAGATCAGCTGCCGGCTTGATCCCAGGCCCCTCTAATGTTCCTCCAGATAACTTCTCTTTGTCCCACAGGCCTTGCCACCCACCACACCGGGTGGGTGTTCATCTCTACCCTGCCCTCTCTCTCACACGTGTGCTCCTTGCTAACTTCCCTTTGGAATGATTTCCACGTTGTTTCAGAATTCTTCTTATCTCCCCTGTCATCACTGTATTCTGTTACCTTTTCTTGCTGGGCTTCCATTCATCCACCTACCTTCCCGTCTTATCACTCTTGCCTCAGCCCTGCCCCTCCTGACCTCACCTCAGAACTCCTGCAGCACCTTTCTCATGGGTCTCCCTGCTTCCTGTCATTCTCCAAGACAACCCCTCTCAGAGCTAGAGGTGGCAAAATTAATCTTTAACTACAGATCTGGTGGCATCCTACCAGAAACATCTGATTCCCTACTGCCTACTAGATTAAGTACAGGTCTTTTGCTTGGCCTTAAAAGGCCGCCAGGATACCCAGCCTACCTCCTCTTTTTTTTTTTTTTGGCTAGCACTGGACATACATACACTCTATGCTGTAGCCTGACTTGCCAATCTTTCCCACCTTTGTGACCAAATCTTGCTGTCTATGTCCTGCTCCGCTCTTCCTTTAACGTTACTCTGTTCCTCCAGGACTTCCTCAATTGTTATCTCATTTTAAAACTCTCCAACTGAGTATGTGCTTCTATAGAATCTATTCTGTTCTATGTATAGTCATTATTTGTGTTCTTGATTTTACTAGACTGAATCAAATGAAATTGCCAATATTCAACTGGTTTTGATATTTTAAAAATGGCAATGTCAAGGGGTGCAACCTAATGTTTTCCATACTAGACAACCAGGCTTTTTCGGAAGGTCACTGGGTCTGTTGTTTATCTTTGTAATCCTTGCTGGGCATATCTAACGCTAGTAACCTGCATAAAGCAGCACTCTTGAATGCTTGTATGGAGTTCGAATGAATATTAGCGAATGGTTCTTATCACTCTTTGCATTTTTGCTTTTGAATGTCGAGCTCTGGAAACATTTAACCTCAGGAATTAGTGAAGACTTTGTTTTGCAGAATAACTGTATTTCAGAAGAAGAAAGAGATGCATATGAAGAACTGCTGACACAAGCAGAAATCCAAGGCACTATCAATAAAGTCAATAGTAAGTAATGGACTGTATGAAGGAAATGGATACATCTGCAAGATTTTCTTGTCAGAATTTCAGCAAAACTCTCAGCTTGTATCCTTGTAAAACTGCCTTAAGTGATAAAAATTCACTAAATGTCAATGTTGCTGTTAATTATGGCACATCACCTGACAGCCTCCCACGGAGCTTTTTTGGTGATTTGCCCCCAGTCCGTGCAAGATATCTCAATTTGCCTTGGAGCTAGTTTGACTGTACCTTCCTGTTTCATCATAGGTACAGTGTATGTCATATTTCAAACTCACTGCGGATTGGGCTAATATTGACAGTTGTTTAGTAAAATATTATGACTTAAAGATTGTCATTCCTTGCTCGTGATTATATGATGGCATTTGAATGGACGTGGAAAAGGTATCATTGACAGTTCTGCTCTTTGTTACTTCCCAGCCACTAGTCTATAGTTTGTAAGAACTGTTTTCTTACAGCTTGGGTAGCTTCAACGCAAATGAATGAGATTTGACAGGCCAATGAAATTGCATGGTGGCAGGTTTAAATCCACGTCCCCGAGACGCTATGGAGTTGCAGTTTCATTTTTTTTTTTTGGTACCCAGTTCAGTTGTGTGACTATAAAAAACAAAAAACTTGGGTCATTAAAATATGCATATGCAAGTTTAGATACATTAATCTCTTTATTAGTCTTTTTCCCTTCTTTAATAAAATGTATTTTATTTGAGGCAGTTAGGAATTCTGATTGACATTTAATTTCCCCAAGGTCAACTTAAATAACCCATATATATATATATATACATATATATATATATATATAAAATGAATACATGAAAGACCATTTAGCCCTTTTAATCAAGCATGTGAACCAGCTGCCAAATTTAAATTTGGAATATCCACTAATTTCAGCTGTTCTAAACCTTGCCTTTAATTTAACCTCATATATGAGCTTTGAATGTTGTTTGCTCTGAACACCTTCAACAAAATGCACACCTATAGGTGTTACCCAGAAGTTTGCTCCTAAGTTGATGGTGGAGACATATCCTAAAGGCTTCAAATGTAATCACTGAGGCCCAGATACCATTGATGTAGATATTTAGGAGTTAACAACTGAGTAGGTTTGAGAATTTACCTCATACATGCAGCTGCTGAGAGCTCTAGGGTAAAATGTTTTTAAGGGAACACCTTAACATTTTGGGATGCATATTTCTATTCTTTTATCCTTATTAAATTTTGAACATGTTGGTTATGATACATGAAGCACGATTTCAAGTTTCTCTTTCTGCTTTATTTGAAAGCTGAGAATTTCATTATGCGTCACAGAAATGAATTACAGGAAGAAATTAACATTGCCAGCAAAGCATCTGAGGTCCATAAGCTTAGTGAGGAAATAGTTCTGTAAACTTTTGCCATCCTTTAGTTTTGAAATGTTTATAACCACTCAGATTTCTTTTAAACTAAAATGCCTTATGTCATTGTTTTATACTTTTACACTTTACTCCATGACTAATTTAATGCCCAATTGGCTATACTTTTTTTCCCATATTTAAGTGAAAAACATGAAATGATTGTAGTAATGCATAACCAGCTGAAATTATGAAGGACATTGCAATGGTTGATGGCTTTAAACGTGTAGAGCATAATTATTCTGAAGTTTTGATCTCTTCCCATCTGAAACCTTACAGTCCAGTAGAAATAACAGTTGTCTTGAAAAAACCTTCTATGGGCTGGCCGAGTGGCTCAGTTGGTTAAGAGCTCACTCAAGAGTATGAACTCTGAGCAATAGCGGTTCAAGTCCCAGCCCAAGCTGAGCTGCCGCTGAGCTGCCAACAGGTGGCAGGATGGCTCAGCTATTAAATAAATAAATAAATAAATACCTTCTAATGCATATTTTAGTCAGTGACATGACAATGAGACAATTGTGTACCTTTTAAAATGCGTACATATAGCTACTTGAAAAGCTTTTCCCCAACCATGTAGGTTATTAAAATGTTAAGCTGTCTACATTCGTAGCAGACATAATAGTGGCATAAGTGACAGCTTCAGTGGTAATGTCACCAGCTCCGTCATCAGATCCTTCAACTTTGAACTAGAATTATATAACTTTTGGGTTTGGCATGTGCATTCCATTCATTCCATGACATATTCTGTTAAAGTCGGGGCTGGAAATTTTGTTAAATTCACAGAGTATAAAAGAGTTAGGTTAAGCTTACTTTATTTTCTTTTTAGATGAAATGGTACATTAAGAGTGTTTTAAAGATGTAATGTTTCTGGTAATATTTTACCATCCAGTTGTGCAAACTCATATAATGAAATTTTCCAAGGTGAAGCAAGACCCTGTCCAAAGTAATCCAAGACCCAGCTGAAAGGCCTCAGATGACTTAACAGGCCAGCGAACACCACAACCACTGACCTTCCTTTCTGGAATTCTTCTGTTTGTCATATTAATTCTAAGAATAGAATGAAGTGTTTGGGTTTTTAAGGTCTTTTAGAATAAGTGTCCTTTTCTAAGGGTGTGGAATGAAAGACTACATTTAGTTGTGTTTCCTGCTATTGAATGATGCCTCTTAGTGAAAGGTTATGGAGGGTAGCTCCTTGAAAATGTAGTTAGAGAAGATAAATTGTCATCTGTTAAAAAGGGTTAGAATCATCTTAGCTGCAGTCTAGTCGTATAATTAGGAAGACAGACTAACCTTTGGAAAACTCTAGAAATCTATGGGTCTGTGTTTTTTTTACTACCCTGAAGCCTTTATAGGGTACAATCCTGCCGGTTCTGTCTGGTTTGCTGTGACTTAATGGCAGAGTTCATCACTCATTCTTCCATTTGGTCAGCAATTCCATTTCTGTTTTCTGAAAACTATGCTGAACCTACTGTTTGAAACGCCCTCAGTTTGGTCACTAAAATTCAGGTCTTTGTAATGTGAGCATTGCAGCTGGTAGTGTCATCACAGAGCTTATGGCTGGGTCAGATAATGTCAACCGAGGCATTTCTGGAATCAGGGATTTATTTTTTAAGTTAAGTGATACTAGCACAGGCAATTCAGTCATGTGAATTTTGGCTGTCATCTTTTTAAAAACCTATCTGAATTATTTTTTCTTAAGAATCACAAGTCACAGAGCACGATGTTGAAGGAGAATGTTCTGAAAACTAATACCATCAGTATCAAGCAGCAGTGTGTCCAAATGCTTATGCTGGGTTTTCCATGGTGCTGATTCAGAGGGAAGATCCAGCAGCAGGGCAAGGCTTTACAAAGCTTCAGTCTCCTGTGGGAAGGCAATACTAACACACAACAAGCTTTACAGAGCAATGCCTTTGGGATCTCTATGGCCCAGCTCCAAATATAGTGTGGGTTCCCAACGTGTGAAATCCTCAGGGACTGGAACAATGTAAGGACTTCGTGGAAAAGGTGGAACCAGAACTTTGAAAGGAAGGATTTTGTAAGGAAATCATGTGAGGCAGGAATGGTCTCATACCCCCAGCTCCGTCAGTGCTGAGGTTCTTTTAGAGACTACCTCCAAGGACTAGACTGACTTCCAGTTACTGAGCTATTATACCATTTCCAAGTCTTTGCCTACCCTCCAACTGCAGCTTTTCAGAGATCATGGCGAGTGACCACTTAGATTTAGTCCTTGGACAGGTAGGCTTGTTGGGCCAGGTCACAGTGGGAAAAGCGGACATTGTGACGGAAGGTCACAGTGGGAAAAGCAGACATTGTGACGGAATGTAACATCCCCCTCCCCCCATCCTTAGGGCTGGCTGCAGTGGACCACATCAATGCCGTCCTTCGGGACGGCAATCCCGAGAACACACTGCTTGCACTGAAGAAACCAGAGGCCCAGCTGCCTGCTGTTTACCCCTTTGCTGCTGCAATGTATCAGACCGAACTGTTCAACCTCCAGAAACAGAATGCGACGGTAAGTCAGAGGAGACTGCGCTTCTGGAGAGAGATGTTAAATGAGTGCGAGCCATGAGGAAGGCTGTTTACGGGGTGTAGAGTCTTTAATTTGTACCAACCCCCCATCTCATTGGCCTCCCTGTACCAATTCCATGGCCGCCTTCCTCTTTAACTCCTGCTACATAAAGAATCTTAAGAGCACAGTTAGGAAACGCAGACATATTGAAAACAGGTGGTTCTTATTCTGTGATTCTTTTTTTAATTTTGGATCATTTTTTAACTATACTGAGATGTTTTAAAAATATGTTATGGTTTTTTTTTTGATATAGAAAAAGTAAGCTCTGAATCAGCATTTCTAGAAATCTGCAAGCAAAAACACTAGCACCATGGCATTGATTTTTGTAAATGTATGCTCCTTAATATGCTAATAGTTTTAAACAGTAATATTCACATAAGGTTACAGTAATTAAGAACATGTGTACTACAAATTAAGCCAAACAATGAAATGGAATAAAAAGTACTAGAACAGAGCCAAGAATTTAATATGTGAGAGTGCTAGTGTTTCAAAAAGGTGGGGAAAGGAATGAAATTCTTACAAGTGTTTCACCACTTGGGAAAAAAACATTACCTCACTACACATATCAGAATAAATTTCCAGTATATGAGGTGTGATCAAATAATACGGTGAATGCTGCTGCCGAGTACCATCCAATGGAAAGGCAGGGATCTTCAATACAGGAAGCAGTGCGTTGAACCTTAGTAACAGTGTGTGACAAGTTTCAACCTGTTCGGTGCATCAGTCGGGTGTGAACTAGGGTTGAGAGAAGGTGTGTTTTAACAAGTGTGACCTAAATCATCCTCCATCATGACAGCATTCTGTGTCACACATCACTTCTGGTATATGGCAGTTTCTATCAAAAACATTATGGTGTGTCCTCATCCACCTTATTCACTGGATCTGACACTGTGCAATTTCTGGCTCTTCCCCAAAGTCAAAATGATTCAGGACTTCGAGGCAGACACAACAGTGCAACTGAAGACACTCATGAAAGAGGACTTCCAGAACTGCTTCAGAAAGTGGCAAGAATGATGGGATAAGTGTGTTGGAAGCGAGCGGGAGTATTTTGAGGGGGATTAATGGCAATGTGTCTTTTACTGTAATAATTTTTTTTTAATTTAAACATTCACCAATTTGTTTGATCACACCTCGTAAAAGGTTAAACATTAAAAAAAAATTTTTTTAATTAAAGTTCCAATGAAACGTAGAAGGACATTGGATCTTAAAAATCAGAGACAGCCCTGATCCACCAAAAAAAATGGGGGAGAGGAGAAAACATGAACAGGCAATTCACAAAATATCGAATACACAAAATGACAAAACACAAACATATGTTCAAACTCAATCAGAAGTAAGTGTATATTAAAACAAAATACAATTATTTTTAGATATCGGGTTGGTAGAGAATTGAGAAATCTAACCTAGTATAGGTATAAATTTGGGGCAGCAGGCATCTCCTACACAGCTGGTAGGAGAGTACAGCCTTTCTGGAGAGTGATCTTAGTCGTGTGTATCAAAGGCTATTACCCATTATCCTGACAGTAATGTTGCTAGGAAACAAATATGAATCAGAAAGTTGTAGCCACAAGATGTTTCATAGCATTGCCTAATACCGAGAAGCAGGAAACAAACCACATATTGCTCACACAATTATTAAGTGGAAAAAATGAGGTTATAATATTATCTTGGTTTATTTGTAATAAGAAACTAATAAAATCAGTTAAAAAAACAAAACCTCTAAATGTTTGTATGAATTAAAAACAAATAACAGTATATACACTAAAGGGCTTGGATAGTAGGATTTGCTTTCTTATTCTTGCTTGTCAAGACTTCCTGTTTTCTAAATAAAAAGATACTATCAGGGGCACCAAAAAATTGTATACAAGTGGACACTTTGGTCAGTGTTGCTCAAGCAGTAGTTCGCCATAATCAGAAGGGTGTGGACGCTGATCGTAACCACTTTGAGGACCTCTTGTAATTGCAGAAGCCAAACATGACTTGTATTCATCTTTTGTTATTGGTGTATATTAAGTATTACAATTTTAAGACAGTTATCCTTTCATAAAATGTGTATACATTTTCTTGGCACCCTCGGTATTTTGTAATAGAAGAAAATCTGTTATTTTCTTAAATTGCTTTTACATTGTCTCATTAATATTTTCTTCCACTTCTCTAGCTTTGAAGCCTAAGGCTACTTGAATTCTAGCAGTCATTCATCCGCACTCAGTCAACCATCAACTAGTGGTTGCCCAGACCCATTTCTTCTTTAGTTTCCCTTATCCTTTTGCTGTATACCACTTTAGATATTTGTGGACAGTTCACTAGAAGGGGTAAAGGAGGTGAATCTCAAATGATTCCATTTTGTCTTTTACTTGGAATTTTATACTTTCTCTATGTGTTAAACTTGTAGTTAATGTAATATGTGTGGATAAAATTTACTTACGTGTTCCATATTATATCCTCCCATTTGCTTTGGAAGGTGAAATTATGCTTTGTTACTCTAAAATCAATTTGATGCAAGATTTCTGTGGAGATCCAAAAAGCTGTAATGTATTTTAATATAAATATTGCATCATATATATTAAATACATATAATCTAAATGTAAAGATAGATGTCTACATGTAAAGAAAATGAATTATTTTATTAATTCGTTTTCATGCTTCCTCCATGGTTCTTCAATATGATAGAAGAAATAAACCTTTTGGAGTTACACCAAGTCAGTATAAAATGATTAAATGGAAGAAAACTTTGAAAGGGGAAGGTGTTGTGAAATCTAAAGTGTATTTTTTTAAATAAGCCAAATCCAGATTTATAAATCATATAAACCTGGAGACTCTTACTTGCTTTACCTAAAGATTTACCTTACATTTCTTCAAATATCTAGACCTTAGAGTACATTTCAAAATTTCTACCCAATATAAAAAATGTGATTAAGGCTTAGTTTTTTTGGAACTAGAATCAATATTCTTGGCTTAAAGACTTTGATTTACTTTCTGTGGTTATAACTTTTAGGTGAAATTCTTCCCTCTTTTCCTTACTCTTAATTCAAACTCAAAATTATTGGCTATGCTAAAATTTTACCTTGCACTCTTGGACAGTGACAAACCTTATCTAATTCTTGGCTTAATTATTTGGAAAGCCTGAGCCTGTAAGCACTCAGTGTAGCTGGGAGTAGGAATCATCTATGGGAATGCAAATGTTTGTGGAATCATAAATGTTGGTTGTAATTAACTCAGTTCCCAAAGTCATCACCTAAGAAAAACCCGGAAGTCATTTACCTGTTCTTTAAAGCCAATGAAAAATAGGTGGCCATTGAGCCCTTTTTATCCTGGGTTCTCAAAATCTTTGACTTTTCATTGTTCTTTGAAATGTGCATTCTAAACACCTGAGATGTGCAGTCTAAACCCCCATCACATCCAGGAGGTGTGTTATTTGGGGAACTTATATTGCTGTGTGTTTTCTAACAGAACTACTTGGTCCATGAGGAGCTCTTGATTGCAGTGGAAATGCTGTCTGCTGTTGCTTTACTAAACCAGGCCTTGGAAAGCAATGACCTCGTGTCTGTGCAGAACCAACTCAGAAGCCCAAAAATAGGCTTTAACAATCTGGACGAGACATATGTGGAACGGTAAGCCAATATATTCCAAGCTTCTTTTCAAAGCAGAAATGTGTGTTTGGCACATCTCACAAATAAAGGATTTATTCCTTACTGAAGAAATCCATATGTCCATGCTCATTTGCTGAAAAGTTAGTCTATTTTGTTTTAAAAGTCTCTCTAATATCAGAGGCCTTCTTTACAGCATTCTTTTTGGGGGAACAAAGAGTCTGAAAACAATGACCCTGTGGTGATTACGGACTGACTTTGTCATTAGCAAAGATTATTTGATCGGTTTAAAATAAAAGAACCATTAAAAACATACCTTCCCTTGAGATTCTTTTGGAGATGACAGAATGTACAAAAGTTGGAAGCAACTTCATCCAGTCCAGTTCTCTTATTTTACTGATGAGGAAACTGAATCTGGATTTGTGGACCCAGAAGTGAGCCATTGGGCCCAAACCCCATTCTTCTGATTGTTAAACCGAAGGAATCCTGAGACCACAGTGGATGATGGCGGTGGACACAATATCAATTTAGTATCTTTTATTTCCTGTTCCTGAAATATGCTGCTAGATAGTGTAATGATACTATTATAAAACACTATAGCAGATCTAGAGGCCTGAGGAAGGAGCCCAGTGAGAGAGATTCAGTAAGACAAAAAAGCCCAAGTTAAAACGAGCGATTTTTCTGGCCTGGATTCTTGTGACCACCAGGGGGAGCTGTCTGCTTAGATCTTGACAACACTGCTCTTTTCAGATACTGATCCTGGAACTGCTCAAATAGGTAGGTTGGGGAATTCTCTTCAGTCACATGCAGTTAGTTGTACAGGAAAAAATTTTTTAACTTAAAAATTTTTTAAATGGTGTTTAATCATTTGTCTATGTAGGGAATGGCCCCAAAGTAATAGGACTGAATTTTCCTTGCTTTTAGTCTTCTTGGAGAAACTGATGCTCTTATACTGCATAAATTTCTACACCTCATTCATAGAACGTCTCAGAGTCTCTTTCCAAGGTACTTTATTTCCACCTCCACTGTTTCTATGAATGGCACCACCTTTCCTCCAAGCTTAGAAACCTCATGGTCAATTGAGTTTCCTCTGCACTCTGCCAGGCACCCTCGCGCTGTGAGCAGCCTGCTCACTTCTCTCCCTGACAGTAGCCAATCTGGGTGCACTATACCTCTGCAAAATGTCTCCATTTCCCAGTACCCACCTCATTTAGACTTTTCAACCTTGCTTCTGTAATAACCTTCAGATTGCTCTTCCTACGTCCTTCCTATCCTTATTCATTCTTACCTAACAAGGCTTCACTGCTCTCTTAGTGCTAGTAGACGACAGACTGGTGACTCCCTTAGGAAGCCTAACAATCTAACGGGGCCACTAATGGGGAACCTTGATGAGAGAGTTGTTGAGACTGTCTCATAGATTTAGCATCCTTGGCCACTGCCCTGTAAATGACAGTACCCCCTCTCTCCAAATCACCCATTTTGATTATTAAAAATGTTTCCCTCCCCCATCCCAATTTACAAATAACCTACTAAGGGTCCCACACCCCACTTGAGAACCTTTTTTATCTTTTTCTTTTAGCTGAGCCATCCTGCTACCTGTTGGCAGCTCAGCGGCTGCTCAGCTCGGGCTGGACTCGAACCGCTGTTGCTCAGAGCTCAAACTCTTGAGTGAGCTCTTAACCAACTGAGCCACTCGGCCGGCCCCAAGAACCACTTTTATCCCTGTGGTTTTCAACTAGGGCCTGCAGACACAGCTTCAGAGTTCAAGTATTCTGTATGAGAAGCTTTTAAAATTTGTGTTTCTTTTAATAATCTTTCTAAATCTTGACTTAAGCACTTTCTGGATCACCTGGATGACAGTAGCAACGTGAGATTTCAGGGTCCCCTTTGGTTCTTATATTGACAGCTCCTGGCCTTCCTCACCGTTCCACTTCAGTGTCAGCTTTTTAATCCGGGCTCTTGGAAGCCCAAGTTTGCAGGTTTTCAAGTTTGAGAAACACTGCCCTATCTGGGCCAGTCCCTATTCATAGCACAAAAGTGCTAGGCGGGTCCACCTTGATGAATTCTTACAAAGTCTCTCCCTATATATCATGGCTTCCATGCTAGGGGCTGTGTTTTCCCAGAAAAGTTCATTTATTTAACTCTCACAAAAATGATGTAGGGTTGGCATTGGTTCTAGGCATTTGTTGTATCCACATTAATTGTTCTAAAATGTCGCTGTGTTTGTAATGCTCCTCTATTTGCATGTTCACCATTCTCATCTGCATTAAGAACAGATGTCACTGTAAACGTGTTGTTCTGACCTTAGCTCCAGCTATATTCCTCCTTGTATTTCGGCTGGATCCAAACACCCGCTGTACTTTCTGGCCTGTCTGCTCCCACGCATGCTCCTCTCACCATCGGGAACTCGGTACCTGTCACTCATCTCTGCCTGGCCCAGTCTTGGAGTTTCCAAGCCCTGCCTGCCATAGATTACACTTTCATGAATTATTTCCGCACTTCTCCCCACCCCCACAATGTCATCTTTTCTGAGAACTAGCATGATGTGGTTAAAGGAACATAGCCTTGGAGCCAAAAATATCTGAGTTTGACCCTTCCTAACCAAGCCCTTTTCTCTTCATCTATAAGGCGCAAAACAGACAAAACAAAAACCACCTACTCTGCATTGGCAGGACAGTTTTGAGGATTAAGTGCCTGGTTTAGTGACTGTGCTGGGCAAGGTGCTCTCCCACTAAGATTTCCTTCCTTGTCTCCGTCCTTGGAACCCCATTATTTCTACTCTTATGAACTATCTCTCTTTTTATGGCCTTGCCTGTGTTCCACTTTTATGCCCTTTTTGAGTTTTTGTCTTCTAATCCACTAGACTGAAAGTTCCTTGAAGTAATAGCTGCGTCTTGTTCATCCTAATGTTCCCTGTAGTTCTTGCTACAGGTTTTGTGCATAGTAAGTGCTGAATAAACATCTGCTGAACTAAATTGGAATTTTAATCTTTTCAAAGTTTTCCAAACCCGTTAGAAATATAATCTTATTAGTCTGTCCATAGCAGACAGTGAAGAGAGCTCTGAGAGAGGCAGGGAGGGAAAAGACATGGACCCTTCAGGTAAACTACAGAATGCTTTGGTACTGGACACAAATACTTATATGGAAAACCTGTGGAACTCTGTTGTGTTACCCCTAAAATCTTTTCCCTTTGGCTAGTGTTTGTTCATTTCTAGAGGAATGATGGGTGATTGTGGTTTTTTTTCCTGTGTTCATCCTTAAGCTTTGTAGTCCCCTCGGGTCATCATTTAGATGTTAAGCATGTGAAATGCCCGCAATGATTTTGCACTTTTTTTTAGAGTGGTTCTTTCTATAAGGGATGCTAGGCAGTGCAAGATGCCATCTATCCATATTGTTATTATGGTCAGTATTATTTATTATATATTACTAGTGACACAGAATATTTTCTTAGGTTTATGACTCTTGATAAGGTGAAAATCTCACACACCACCGTTAGCCAGTTTCAGGCCTGCATTTGGTGACACCTCATTTAGCCACAGGTAATGAGCCACCACCAGCACTTCCTATTTTGAAAGATATATGTCTCTCTCAAGCTACTTTCTGTAAAAGACACCTCAGTGTCACCTTGAGTTAGAAAGAAGTTTAAGAAAATTTGTCACAACAGGAAAACAGTTTTAGATTCAGTGTGATGTTAATTTGTTTAACCTCTGTTAGCAAATCCACAGGTGTTATTCAGAAGTCAAACTGTCTAGTGAATTAATATGCACATTGAGGATGGGTCTTTATTTCCCTAGTGTAATGCAAAAGCAGATGAAACTATCTATGGAGTGCCTTTACTTCGGGCTTGAATATCTCATGTTAGCTTAAGGTTATAACATTGGTTCTGTGATTTTTAAATAGGAAATTGATTACCAAGAAATGAAAGTTTCTTAGTAATATATCAAGATGGATGTGGTTGTTGTTGTTTTTTTCCCTAAAATTTTCCCAGACAAGAAAAATAATTGGAGTGGTTGACCAAACTCTTATTTCCCAGAGGGCTGTGCAGAGTGAGGAGGGTGAAAGGTGAGGGATGGGGTGAGAGTGCTGTGGCAGTGAGGGGACACAGAAGAGAGGTTTTTGAGTAGCCGCTCAGAATCCTTAGGAGAAATGGACAGGTGAGGAGAAATTTTAGGATATTCTGATTCAACTCATGCACCGCCCCTTCAAGAAAACATACAGTGAAGATGTGTGTTATTCAGCAAGATTTCTCAAACTGCATCTGCATTTTATTTGATTCCTCAGTGGGCGTATTAGATCTCAAGGTAACCCAACTATGTTAGGGTTACAGTAAAAAGGTCTCTCACAGCTCAGATTTTGGAAAGAACAAGAATAATTAAAAGGACCCTTCATGGAAGGATTGAGAGCCAAGCTAATTCACAGCCAAGACACACAAACGGGAGGAAAATTAGTAACCGGGAAAAAAAAAAAAAGCAATTTCACAGCGTTGAGAACGTCTAAGTTTTGTTTTGTTTTGTTTGCCTCAATTGGGTACGAGGCTGGATTTTGGAGAATTTTAATTAAATAACACTTATACATAAAGTATTTTTAGAAAAAGAACACCATTAATATAAGTGAGCTTGTTGTGGGTTGACACAGCTGCCCCAGACAATTTTACTTGCCGTTCTAGTCTTTGTCTAACCTCATAAAGTCTATCTGTGGCCCCATGTGTCAAATTTCAGATGCATAACATGAACAAAGAATGAATGTCTCTAATTAGTATCATGATTGTTTTCCCTTCCACAGTTATGCAAATGAACTACTCTCCATTAAGCTAGAAACCTCAGCCCAAGGGCAAGAGAACTTAAGCTGGAATGAAATTCAAAATTGTATTGATATGGTTAATATTCAAATTCAAGAAGAAAATGAACGTAAGTATGGAACACTTTCTTCCTCTAATATAGGGAGAATAAGGTGTCTGGACAACTTTGTTCTCTAGATTAGGAGTGCAAATTTTTGCTCATGGAGCCCTGTGAGAGCACACTCCCCTAATATGTATCTGTCTATTTATGTACAAATGTTATGCCTGTACCATTGTGCCAACATTATAAACATTATAAAGCATACATAAAGTGACATGAAAGGACAGAATAAAAATACACAAAAAGGGGTGTGATCAGAGCAGGGCGCCTGAAGAATGGCTTCTTTGTTTACAACACACCCAACAGGAACTTGGGTTTTCTCCTCACAGGTGGCAGGACACTATGACCTTCCTGTGACATTA